GCGGGAGCTGTTCCAGCATAGGGTGTCTGGAGAACAGGTCCCTGCCTATCTGGAGCAGTGCTCTTCGAATCGTTGCTGCTGAGCAGTTAGCTGTTGCAACGTGCGGTCATTCTCTTGAGCTCTGTCTACTAACTGCACCATCATTTGACGGATCTAAGATAGCTGAGCCTCCGATTGATTCGGAGCGGGTTGACGCTGAAGGTTCTCGGGGGCTGTTACCCCGGAGCTGTTTCCACTGGAGGACCTTGGGTTAGTTATTCCAGTGGTGGTCTGGTTCAGTTGAGCACTAGCCGGAGGCTGTTGCTCAGATCGGTGATCAGTGCATTGAAGCTCCGGGATCAGTGCGTTGGAGCCTCCGTTGTTTGGTGAGCCATAGCTCTGGGAAGGTATCGTATCAGATACTTGTCACGTAACATACCAGGTTCTGGTCAGGTAACGTATCCAAAGGTCATGTCTTCAATTACAGAAGACCTTTGGATAAGAGATAACAGATCTCAAGACCTTTGGATAAGAGGTCTCGGGACCTTTCGGTAACAGGTCTCGGGACCTTTCGATAAGAGGTCTCGTGACCTTCAGATAAGAGGTCTCGGGACCTTTCGATAAGAGGTCTCGAGACCTTTCGATAACAAGTCTCGTGACATTCGGATAAGAGGTCTCGGGATCTTTAGATAGTTGGGCCTGGTTCCGGCTAGGTATTGTATCTGGTACATCGCACCAGGTACCTGTCCGATATCGTACCAGGCTCCGATTCGGCTGGGATCTCCCAAAAGTCTCTTGTTCAGATTCGCGGGGACCTGAGGCTGAGGTCTCATAGGAGCCTCATGTTCAGCTTCGCAGAGACCTGATGCTGAGGTCTCATAGGAACATTTCGCTCAGATTCGCGGGGACCTGAGGTTGAGGTCTCATAGGAGCCTCTTGCTCTAGTTCACTGGAAACCTGAGGTTGGATCTCATAGGAGCCTCCTTTCAGATTCGTGGGGACCTGAGGCTGAGGTCTCATCGGAGTCTCTCGCTCTGGTTCACTGGAAAACTGTGGTTGGATCTCATAGGAGCCTCCTTTCAGATTCGTGGGGACCTGAGACTGAGGTCTCATCGGAGCCTCTTGTTCAGGTCCACATAGAGAATTGCAGAAATCTGCACAGATTTTGCACATTGCGGATTGGATTTTGCACGGAACATCTTCTGATAAAACTTTAAGAAAATGGTGTACGCACGGATTTTGCACGAAACGAGTTTCTGATAAAACTTTCAGAAATCTGTAAACGCACGGATTTTGCACGGAACAGTTCTCTGATGAAACTTTCAGAAAACATGACCCCTCGGATTTTGCACGGTTTCTGATAAAACTTTCAGAAACCTTTAAATGCACGGATTTTGCACGGAACAGTTCTCTGATGAAACTTTCAGAAAACATGTCCCCTCGGATTTTGCACGGTTTCTGATAAAACTTTCAGAAACCTGTGAATGCACGGATTTTGCACGGAAAGTTTTTTTATAAAACTTTCAGAATTCAGGGTGATCCAAATCATGGTCGATAGGATCCATTCTCAAGTCACGGAGTGAAGGATTCAATTATCTCGTCCCCACAGTCGGCGCCAAAATGTGAGGGGTAAAACTCACTTCCTAGTTTAGGTTAGGTATAGATTGGAGACAAGGTAAGCGTGGGCTGAATCCTGTAAGAACTTGAAGAAAGAATGCGATTGTATTGATGTTTTTGGTAAAGAGATGATTACAAATGATTAATAAGATGATTCTGATGATTACAAAGAATTATGAGAACGTTTTGTGANCTTGTAAATGAGGTCCGGAGCTCTCCTGTTAGCTCCTTGTAAATGAGGCCCGGAGCTCTCCTCCGTGACCTGTTTATAAATGAGGTCCGGAGCTCTCCTCCGTGACCTGTTTTGTTGACGTTCCTTCCTTAGCAAAAACAGCCTCCGGCTTCTTTTTGACTCTTTTCTCAGAAGATTAATTGCCAATGGGCTTACAGTGACCCATAGTCAACTCTTATCGTTCTAGCCCATTATTCTCAGCTAGCGGGCCATATTTGGGCCCAACAGTCACCTGTAAGACAAGAGCCGGCAAGAACATTAAAACAGCCATCAGATGGTAGTACTTCCGGAGCAAGATTCTCTCAACCTTGCTACCTCTTGAGATGCTATAAAACCGTGAGACAGAGACAACGATGAACAGAACCCAGTAGATACACAATGAAAGTCTCTTCAGAGGTTCAGAAAAGACAAACGCGAGCACCCTGCGATGGAGGAGTATGAAAGAAAAGTGAGTGGTTACATTTGTCGCTGGCTAAACGAATCTGCTCAGCATCGCAAGAATTGATGAACCGAGCAATTAACAGAACTTGCTCCTTCGACATTGGACCACACGTGAGAACATCGCTGAAACAACGAAACAAAAATACAAATCAGCTCAAAGAGTAATATATATATATATATACCCAAACAAATCAGAGTAAGAGTAAAACTCACAGGAGATAGAGGTAACCGAGAGAATGCTTGGAAGCGTCGAGCTGGTCAAGAGTACAGATTTGGAGATCCGATTCGCTTCGGAGCGTCTCCTCGGCTCCTTTCAGAAGACGGTGGAGTGAAGATAAGTCGCCGGGACTGGTGGATAGACCTTGGATTGACTTTATCACACCCTCCATGAGGAGATGGAGATGATGGTGGTGGCTTTCTTCTCGAGAGCCACGGAGATGAGGAGATGGAGATGGTGGTGGCTTTCTTCACCGTTTAATTAATTAGGGATAGAATGGTATTTTACCTATTAAAATTAAAATGGTAAAGTTGGTTAAGGTATAGATGAAATGTGGTATGAAGAAATTGGTATTAGTCACAATTTTCCTTATATAAAAACAATTATAACAAAATCTTTGAAATGTTTTTCAATTTTTTTTTAGAATTTATTTTGGAAAACTGATTCAATAAATTACTGATTATAATAAATATAATTAGAGCTTAAAATTAATTTAGTTTTCATTTATAAACTTAAATTAAAAATATTAATTTAATTATATTTAATGATAATAAAATTGATCAATGTTGTAGACATAAAAATAGGAGCATCTCCTATATATTATTTGAAGAGCATTGTTTAAGTTGTAACATTGCTTACTATGCTGAGTTGTCATCACGACAGCTCTTCTCAAGACTTGCTAGACAAATAAATTGGACCGATGTTTATTTTTTGTTCGACCAATCTCTTACATATATATGCTTTCCATTACGGTACATAAAATAATAGTAACATTCAAAGTCGGTTTTCACCTAAAGCAAAGCTGGTTTTCATTTAATGCAAAGACAAAAACGGCTTTTTATATACAATAAAAAAGAATAACCTTTAGATATCTTATATAATGAGCCTCATAAGACTTTTAGCACCAAAATAATAAGTACTAGGTTAGACCCGCGTTTTGCGCGGAATGAATATTTTGTATACATTATTTTTACGCATTATATTTTTGACATATTATAAAATAATAAATATATATTGATAATCAAAATTCAGTACCTATTACGTATTTTAAATTGGTGTAAACAAATAAATATTTTTTTATTAATTTAAACAGATTTTTTTCTATTTTATATGATATACAATTAAGTTTAAATGATATTATCGTAGAAATATAATACATTTTTAATATTGATATCAGTTAAATTATAGTTTATACTCATTTTTTTGTTCATTTTTATATTTTATAACATAAATTTTAAATCACTGATAACAATTTTATGTGTGGGATGTTTAACATTTTTTAGTAATTTATAATTTTAAAACATTATGCAAAGTTTAAAACTAAATATTAAGTTGTCAATATTTGTTCAAATTTTTTATCAAAAAAGTCAACGCAAATTAGAATCTAAAATACATATATATTTTATATGGTAAATAATTTATTTTGTATATATATATATATATAATGAGACTTCTTACTTATATAATTTTGTAATCATTTCTATTTTGTTATAAAAAAATTTAACCATGGATCCCAAAAATTTTAATGTGAGATTTTTTAATAACTTTAGTCATTTATAGTCATTTTAAAAAAATTTAAAGTATATCATATACAAAAAAATCTAATTTTTATTATATAGTTAATGTAGTTGTTTAATTTATTTTGATAATCTAAAATTAAAAAAATATACTAATTTTTATCAAATCTTTATTATTGAAAATCTCTAATTGTCATATATTCTTTAACCATATTTGGAAATTATGTTATTTTTATTTAAGGAAACAATGAAAAACATTAATAAATCATTTATGATTAGTTTAATAAAAAGCTTATTATATATTTAGATGCACCAAAATATTTTTCTAAGGATTTTGAGAATGATTATGGTGATGACACGTGGCTACAAAAAAATGTTGTAATGCTTCTCCTTTAATATATAGGGGATAAAAGATCTTCAGCATGCTCTCAGATCAACGAAACATCCTTGACGGCTCATCTTTTCAGCAATACATTTAGATAGAGCTTTCAAAGACAAGCCAAACCATCTTCACCGTGCACGCATCACAAACCCATACAATACGCAGGTCCGACCAATAAGGTAAGCAAAGTAATCAATTGTTTAGGGTGCTAATTATTGTGAAGTTTTTTTTCTTTAAGAAAATGGTCCAAAATTTTTTGAGAATTTTTTTATTTAAAAGAAAAAGGCCCAAAATTTTTAATTTATGTAGGGTCTCTGATAAATTTGGGCCGACCTTGATAATGCGAGGCTCAAGCAAGCTATGATTTTGCCACAAGACAGTCACTTTCAAAGTGGAGCCATAACCTAAATACATGTCTAAGAAGATTCAAAACTCATTTGCATAGAGACTAAAGATGTGATTGTTTTTTTTTGGCAAAGATATAAGAGGGTATAATAACTTGCTCGTGTGTCTCATGTTGTCTGTTAACAGTTATGAATTCCATTGTCATTCTTCCAAGATTTCCACTATATAATCTAAATCACTTATGTTTCACGTTTTCTCAGACTATATAGTAATAACCTACATTTTCTCATCCATGTTTTTTTTGTCGATGCCCATTTCGTGAGATCAAAATTTTTTTTTTCCTCATCCATGTTATATGACCAATATAACATGGCTGCTCGGTTCATTACTTTTGTTTCACGTGTTCTCAGTCCATTATTTTGTATTCGCATTATTAACGGTTAACTTGATGGAATTTCCTATATGATGTCAAAAATGTTGGTATGCTATACAAATATTATAGAGTATTGGCAGATTATTCTCTTCTAAACTATAGTAAGTTAAGTTAAATTGTATTGATTAGGTGCTGACTTTCTATATTAGTCTTTATGTAAATAAGAAATACAGTGAAACTTCTATAAATTAATTATGTTGAAACTATCCAAATTTTTAATTTTTTATTAATTTAGAGAAATATTAATTTATCGATATATTATTACGTATTACTTTGGCATCAATGAGCAATGTAAATTATACATTTCTATATATTAAGAACGGAATATTGCATTCGTTTGTTATAACTAGGGAAGTAATATATTTACAAAAAAAAAAGAACTCGGTAAAGGAAGTAATATTTGAGAAAGATTAACCCTTTTGAATTATTACATGTCGTCATCCGAATAACCGAATAATTCTTAGAATCCTTAAAAATAATAGGTTGTTCACTTTAAATATATAATATATGCTTTCTATTAAACTAATCATAGAATTAATTAATTGTATAATAATATTTTTATTTCTTCCCTTAAATGAAAGCTACACAATTACCTAATTTTATAAAAACATATATACAACACTTAATGAATTTGAACAATAAAAAATTAATAACAATTTGTGTATCTTCTATCATTTTTTTTTCATTTTATTTTATTAAGAAAACTAAACACTCATACTAACTATAAAAATAGATTTTTTTATATGTTATATTTTTATTTTTTAAATGAAGATAAATTACTATTATTATTAAATTTCACTATGAATTTTTTTTTGGTTAAAAAATATAGCAAGATACAAATAATCATAAAATCACAAGAATATAAAGTTTCGTTTAATAGATACTCATATTAAAAAAAATATATATATATATATATATATCTAATTTAATATCGTTTAAATTAAGTAATATAATATAAAATAATTGTAAATAACTAATAATGATTGTTTTGATTTATTTATCCATGCTAATATAATCTATACATAATAGTACATAATTTCAAATTATTTCAAGTATATTTATTATTTCATAATATGTAAATACTACAAATAAATAATATTACGTAAAATAATTTGTATATACAATACTAACCCCGCACAAGGTGCGAGTCTTAATCTAGTTTGTTATTGAAAGTAAATTAAGAGGATTTCAAAACAGATCTCATATTTTAATTATATATATATATATATATATATATATATATATATATATATATATATATATATATCTTTATATATAAAGGAAGCTTTGCTCCCTATAGATCCTGCCACATCATTAAATTAGTGACTCCCGGCTTGACACGTGTCAAAGGTATCAGATATGGTGCGTTTCAAATCTATTATCATCAAACGGGCTTTTAGTGTTTAGTGGTCCATATAGAATTACTTTGTCCGGCCCATGTTAGCACTTAGGTCATGTCGTCTCTCTCCCCTTTCTGAATTTAATTTTTACAAACATGTTACTGTCATATATTCTCTAACTCCGCTATTCCCAAAACAGAGCTATTACACCTGTTTAATGCTTTACCAATTTCCCCCGTCTTGGATCCATATTATCTCCACCTTTGGTGGTGATATAAACTTAAATCACCAATTGTCATGCTGTTCATCTGTAGATGTGAAAGGTATAGCTTTATGAATTAATAGAAACCTTATATGAATTGTGTTTTATAACACATAGGTTTGAATCGCTTACACTATAGTATAGACCAAACACAATTACAATAATTCTTCAGTGCAGTATTACTTCTGAACAAGAAAAAAAAATCTATCTTACACAGCAACTTCTTGATTTGTGGAAAAAAAGACTGGAGGATGATGCTAGCTCTTAATATGCAGTGTTCAGTTCATGTCTCAGGAAGATGATAAAACTGAGGCTCAGGAGAATGATATGGTTGTGAGAGAGCCTTAGGTAGAGAAGAAACAGAACTGAATTTTGAAAAACAGAAGGAGTAGGAGAGGAAGCAGAAAGCTTTGAAGGAGAATGAGATGGATAATGCTGCGTACAAGAAAGAGGTGAAGCGTCTAAAGAGGGAGGCTGCTGAGACAGAGAGGAATCACATAGAAGAATAAGAAGAAGATGCACATGAGAACAGAGCGTCGAGCTGCAGAGAGAGAGAAGCTGCTAGACTGAGAATGAGACAAGAAATGGCACTTCATCTTGACGGATCTGAGAAACGACCTGATGCTACGCAAGTAAATTCTCTTCTCTTTGACACCCATTACTTATACTTCGCTCATTAAAGGTCAAAATTTTATTTTTTATTTTGTTTGAATTCAGAACTTTGTGATGGTATAAACTTAATTTTTATCAAGTCTTATTAATCTCTTTATAAATTCACAAGTCAGCACAGCAGAAGTTGGTTGAGTCTTTGTCGATGCTAGATGTATTCTCTGCTAGTTCTTTTAAGCAGCATAAACATAGACACATAACATTTATACATCGATGAATTAGTA